TGTGTGTGTGTGTGTGTGTGTGTGTGTGTGTGTGTGTGTGTGTGTGTTTATAGGGTTAATATACGTTAGTTTTTTAAAATATTTTCATTTTAAGCTATGACTAATATAAGAATGTTTAAATACTTACATATATTAACTAACTGAAAAATTAAATATCGTAAAAAACCTATACAGATAAAAATACCGTTTTTTTACATTTCGTAAACGAAAAATGTATGAAATCAAAATTGGCTCTTCATGGCTATTACGATGCTCCTCTAAATATCACCGCACAAAAATGTTGTGATTCGTATAAGGTATAATTATACCTGTATAATATTACAAAATAATACCGTCACCATATTCATTCATTATCATTTGCATAGGACCAGCGAGTCATGCAGCAGCTCGGATACCGGATGGAAGAGATGATATTCACGTTGGCTGATCAGAATTTCTTTTTCAACGAAATCGAGGTACGTGGTAATAGTGCAACCAACATTGTCGTTGCTATAATAAAAACGATAACATGAACCACAATCATATCATACAACTAGATAACTACTCGATTTTAACGTTAATGTCGGTGAAATAGCCGAATTTTTTAATCAAAGAGATCCGTTTTTTACAGTCTATTCATTGAGATGTGATATGTTAATTACTAAAGTAATTAAATAAATTGGATTTTATCATAGACCTTTAAACTGTAATTCTGTTATTATCGATGACAAAATTGTAAGCTTAGACCTCTTTGATGAGATAATTCGACCATTTTCCGGTATTCAAAACTTAAAATTGTGGGTTCAATATCTAGTTATATTATTTATCTGCGAATACAACAACATTTTAATCTTATATTCATTTTACGATTTGTTCACAGGAGTGTGGCGGCGGCGACCAGGCACAGCACATCGACGACGCCGCGTCCGACGACAACGGTCAGGACCTGTCTGGCTACGACTTTGGTGCCGACGGGTTTTCCGCATCGACGGCTTCCACACAACACCATCAAAACCACTTTATCAACCAGCATCACTTCAACAGCACTGGTGCCAGTGCTGGCAATAATCACCAGCAACACCTACAATACCACCAGCACCAGCAACAGCACCAACAACAGCAACACCATCACCCGCACCAGCACCAACAGTACCAGACGCAGCCGTATCAGCACCAGCAGAACCAGCACCATCACCTGATGGGTGTCGGCGTCGGGGGTGCAGCCGTCGCCAATCCGTCGTCCGCGAGCGGTCTGAGGGGAAGCGGCAGCCTGAGGGGTGGTGCTGTTGGTGGCGGTTCCGGCGGCGGTGGTGGCGTGGACTGGATGCGGAAGTTGGCGTTCCGGTACCGACGAGTCAAGGAGTTATACAACCAGTACCGGAACTCGGTTGGAGGTAATTAATATGGGTAGTATTTTTATAAGACTGGGAAATTTTCGATTAATCGTTGACTATATAATAATGGATTACCTAGTCAAAAATCGAAAACTATCGGAAAGAGTGTAAAGATTATTTTATTATTAGATAAATTGATTAAAAATAGATTAAAGTATTTAAGTAATAGTACATTTAAAAAATAACCAAATAATTATTTAATACGAGAAAATAATTTTTGTAAATAATATATAATATGTAATTAGTGTTATTACTAATATTTGAGCAATAAAATGAGTAACACCTACCTATATAAATTATTTTGACAAAACGATTGTGTCTATTCAAAACGAATCTAAATAAAATAAATTATGTCACCAAAGTATAGCCGTATAGGCATACTTAATGCTTTTTAAACCTACTTCAGGATTTAAATAATAATCATAAATTACCAAAGTAAGAACTGATATAATACATGTTACGGTGTAAAAGTTTATTTCATACAAAAAAATTAAAAGTGCATTAACTAAAATACTGTCTATAGAATATTGCTGTTTATTGCAGAATATAATGTAAACCTATAAAATGAGTAAGCATGTAATTAAAAATATATCATCCATTTTGCCTACTTAAGTATTTACTTAATAGATTATCATTATTATCAGTAAAATAGAAAAAATAAATACCTAAGCCAATTTTTTTATTTTTATGATTATTTAATTAATATAATAAATAATAAATAATTATTTACGATTTATTATGATTATTTAATTTAGAATTTTCGATTGAATATTATTTAATTATTTTCCTAAATTAATTGTTCTTCGAATTTTATAATAATGTAAATCCCTGATTGCAATGCACAGTTGCTGATGCCAACGCGTGAAGCATCATAATAATCGAGTGTGGAATTCAAATAATTTATACAATAACGTGCGTTTTTTAAATCAACAATACTATTATTGGTTTTTTTTTTTTTTGTTTGTTTATAAACGTGTATAGCAATTACAATTTTAAAAAAAAGTGTTTGAGATCGATGGGCAGTGGAAGCGGGGCTGCAGCCTTGACAATACCTCACGAAGTAATTCTTGAAGTAATTTAATAATTTTCTTCACTGTACTCGATTTCAGATACTTCCTTACATAATTACAATATTAAATAAATAACAACACTCATAATAAATTATTTTTACGAATGCACTATTTCAACTTAATTGCGTACATCATTACGCTCAAAACAACTTATTATACGAACCATACATATTACATACATAAGTAACTACACAATAAAATTATAAGAAAACAAATTTAACTAGAAAAAAATTGTACTTTCTTGTACTTGACTCTTAAATAAACTTTATAATTAATTTCATTATGATAAGCATTAAATTTAACATCTAGTAATTAGAATAATTTAATATTCAATCCACTTATCCCGATATACCTAAATAACATAACTCGAAGACCTTTTATAAAAAATGTAAGGTGTTATCAAATCAATTCTTGGTCTTGATGGTTTTCCACTTATGCAAATTTTTCACAAATTATAATAGCATTTAGGTAAATTAATTATGAGTTGGATCAATAACAAATAAGATTTTTTTTTTTTAAGACATCTTTAATATTTTAAAGGTGTATTTACCGCATTGGAAACACATTTTTCAGATGCATATATAGATGCATGATTGCACAAGCATATAACATATAAACACGGTACAATAGCGATTACGAATTACACAATCTTCAAATATGAATATAAACTTCAGATTGACTTATATCACTTGCATATTGTCTGATTTCCGTGATAAGATTTATTTTTATTAAATCTATAATAATATTTTTATACAACCGACATACATATTACTTCATTCATTTTTATAATTAATGGTAGGTATTATTATTATATTAAAAAAAAAATCGCACAACGTGCTGCAAGCTATAATAATCTAAATAATTATATAAAAAAAAAAATTATGTAATATGTTTTAGGACTATGAATACATTTTGGTGGACTTAGCTTCTAAGCCACCTTATTTATGTCTCTGATAATTGGCTCACGGATTTTTACGTTTTATGGAAAATTTTAATTTTTTGTATTGTAGGTCTGTTAGGACCTGGAAAACGGGATGCTTGGCTTCAGCTTCGAAGCGACATCGAATTGCACACCGACGACTGGCTGACGATGGCTGTCAAGTGCTTAAATGTTATCAACTCTAGGTAAGCTCATATAAGTGTATAATATAACAGTGTGTGAGAGTGTGTGACTATGTAAAAAAATAACAATGCACCAACTAATAATTATTTTATTTTTTATTTTCAAAAGTACCAATATTTTACCAATTGTATTACTTAACTAACCTATTTATCCGATACTATTTCTGAAAACATTTGAATTCGTCGTGAACTTTACTTAAAAACAACTTTCTTACGTATGTAAATTCATTTTTTCACATCTAAGTTATTACGTTTTGATTATTTTTTGAATTCTTAGAATATAATGTTTACAAATCTGATCTTGAAGAGTTTGGATTTAGTAAGATTTCAAAAAATTGGAAGAGTCGTTTTCAAGATAACCTCTTTGCAAAATCAATAACGTCTTTAGAAGTTTTATTTGATAACTATAGGTTAATCAATACAGTTATTGGCATAAAATCCAAATACATTTTGATATAAAAACGTATATGAGACCTTAACTTAAAGTTTTTAACATCGGTATTTCGATATTACGTAATTACAATATTACTCAGTCATATGTTTTGGGTTTACATCCATTATTATTATTAAATAAATAATAATGATATACATGAATATTATATTGAATTTTACTTACGACTGCAATAGGCCTAACTGTGTCAACGTGTTAGTCACCACCACGCACCTGATACCAGCGTTGGCCAAGCTGCTCCTATACGGACTCGGACAACATTTTGCCGTGGAAAATGTCTACTCGGCCTCCGGGGGCGGTGGAGGTCCATCGACGGGCAGTGGTAAGTCCGGTGGCGGCGGTGGTGGCACTCCGGGATCCACGGCATCGTCCGGATCGTCAAAAGAATCGTGTTTTGACCGGGTAGTACAACGATACGGTCGAAAATGCACGTATGTGGTGATCGGCGATGGGGCTGAAGAGGAAAGGGCCGCACGACAGGTACTTATCATAGTAAAATAATTATTATTTATCCAGCTTTTTCGTTAGGGGAAAAATGTATAAACTTAATATACAGCGCTATATAGACGTATGTTGGTTTTAGTGTATTTCAATTCATGAGTTAATTTATATCGGTGTGTATTTCGCTTTCGCTTTGTAAATTAATTCAACCATTGGTGGATTGAAAATAGAACTTGATATATTGTTTAACATATTTTAAATTTCCTGATGTCTCTAAGAACAATATCTGAATTTTTCATCAAAATCGGTGGACTAATTTTTTTTGAGTATAAAAACATACTTTTATAAATATAAATAATATATCATATACCTAAAAGTTTATTTTTGTTCTTCCAATTATTAGTAACCCTATAAATAAGTAAAATAAGTCGATTTTGGTTATGTACCTAAATCTTATATAATTTTTGAGCTATAATTTTTTACACTAGAAATTAATAAAAATAAAAAACAAAAAAATCGATTTTTGCGAGTCAAAACTAAATTTATGAGAAAACCTTACAATAACAACCTTCATAATTTTAAAAACAAAGCCATTAATATTTTTCGAGTCTCGAAGACTGTGTGAAAAATTTGTTTCAAATTGGTTCAATAATTTAAAAATCTATAAGCTCCATACAAATGATTACTCATTTTTATATAGACAGAGAACAACTTTTATTTAAAAAAAAATTAAAGAAGATTTTCTGGCGCCTGTTTGTCTTTAATTACACAATATAATTTTAAGTTTTTAGACATTATGCTCTTAGTAATAATATAATTCATGAACTTCAATGACAAATAGATATACAATTAAATATAATATCTAACTAGTTATAAAATATAAAATACAGCATGTAAACAATGACTTAATGTTAACATAAATCATAAATCTTTTAGAGTACGAAAAAATATCTATATTTTATATATTATATTTAATTTGTCGTTCATTATTTCCAAACAGATTATTCTATGAAAGGGTTGGCAAGTAATTTCTATTGAAGTCTGAAAGATTAAAATAACAAACAAATAAAACCCAGATAAAAAAAAAGTTGACAAATATTTATGATAAATTAATTACACAACCTAATTGAGATATTTTGATACTATTCGCATATAGGAATATATATTATATATTATTATTATATTATATCGTATTTTAAGCTTTAAATTTAAATTTTGAATTTTAATATTTGTTGTCTGTTAAGTGCTAACCATTACTTTTCTGATGTTGAGTAATATTATTTCAATTTCTAACTTTCTTGCCTTTACAGATGAATTTTCCATTCTGGCGGGTGTCCGGTCACAGTGACCTCCAGGCTCTGTACAACGCCCTCGACATGGGATTTCTCTAAGCTGACTAGTCGGAAACATCAGCATTGTCAGAGGCAACGTCGGCAGTGTCAACAGCAGTATCGTCAGTATCAGTGATATCGTCGATACAGACTACAATTGTCGTCGTATTTATAATATAATATGTGTGTGATTCGACACAGTGATGACATTATAATAATAATAATAATTTTTTATATTATTTTATTTTATAATTTAGTAATATGGAAATGTCGCGTGTACATAATAATTTATATATAATATAAACCACACAAATATCGCAACAACGACAGTGTTATGTACATAATTAAATAAACACGTCGTCGTAAATTATGTGTTTTAAAATGTTTGTATATTATTAGGTTTTATTATTGAGTATTTAAAATTATTTTGGTGTGACTGTGAGTTCGTATATTTTGTTCTCGCGTGTAATATTATATTATATACCTACCATTATTACTCTGTACCGCTTGAAATTAATTGTATTATAATATGCCTATTAGTTTTTTTCTCGTGAAATCGTCCCATTTTTTCCCCTATGCAGATGATTATATACAAATTTCGTAGTCCCATATATGTATATAGTATATTATGTATTTTTTTCATATTTTATTCCTATAGTTCATACTATATGTTGTATATAATATGTTATACTAGCCGTTATATAGATACTTGTTAAATATCACACTGTAGAAATTGTATCATAATATTGCGATAAATTATAATGATATAGAAACAGACAGTTTCTTCTAATTTTTAAGTAACACTAAATTTCTTAACCGGATTACGTTTGACTGAATTGTAACTTTTTTGACAAGCTATATAAATACACATTTATATAGGAACATTTCAAATGTTCAACTCTCTCAGACATGCATGCCTAGTAAAACTTATATTTTTTTAATACCGATACCTATTTTTTTAATTAGGTTTTCAAACAATAGTTTGAATTATTATTATTTTTATTTAATAATTAAAATTGTGAAGTATACTTAATTAGTATTTTATTCTACAAGTTAAGTGTTGTTTAATAAAATAGTTCAAAAAAAAGTTTTAATTTAAATATTTAAATAAATAAATAAATAAAAAAAAAAAAAAAACAAATTCATGATTAAATAGGAAATTGTTCACATTTTAAAAATGCTGATTGTAGAGCAATAATGTTAAGATGACTAAAAAAAAATGAACTACCCAAATATTATATCAAAAGAGGCATCATTATTAAAAAAAAAAGTTATACTGTGCATGCACATATAAATAATATGTACCTATGTAAATACCCCTTGGTTTGACAAGTAAAAAGTCCCTATTCGATCCAATTACATTGGGTCAAAAAAAATTTAGTGGTAACTGAAAAAATTATCTTTTTGCTGTAGTTTATTTTATACTGACTGCAGTGTAGTTATTTTGACGTAACGTAATAACAATACTGAGCGTGGTCATTTAACAGATGTAAAAGCTGAGCGAATTGCTTTAATCTTTGATTAGTATAAGTTGCGCTTAATTTTTACCGAGTAAAATTCTATAACTTAATATTGTTTAAAAAAAGGTTGTTATTCGACCTCATTTCTACCGAGAATATAAAATACTGTTTAGTGTAGGTATAACTATTATCTCATATGCTTTATATTTTTTGTATTATTATGCTATGAGTATATGTTATTATAGAAGCTTGTACTTACTATAATAAGAGAAACTTTAAATTTAATTTATCAAATTTAAATTATTTTAAAAATGTAACGTATTTATAATCAGCCTTAATTAGTACGGCCTTAATTTAACTATTTTATTTTATTCTGTAAAAATGAAATTTTGCCAATTAAATCGAATGTACATATTTAATAAACGAAGATGTCACAATATGGAAAGTAGATAATTTAAAATAGTTTACTAGTTACCTTCAGAAGTTTTAAAAAAAATGTTACTTTTTAGAACTTTTGGAGAGACATTATAAATACGCAATATATGTTATTGTTATATTGTTAATAAAAACTGGTAGGTAATTAATTGTTATTTTGTTTTATAAATTTTTATTCTAATAATGGTAAATTATTGAAAAATGTGATGGTAGATAAAAGGTAAATAGCATACACTACACCAAAACACTAGCGGGAAATAGCTTATTGATCGATAGCTAAAACAAGTAGTCACTAATTATTTTTATCAGTCGATAATTTTAATTTTATTTAAACACTGCAAATAAAATAATGTTACGTAAAACCAATTTCAATTATAATTTATTTATATTGTATTATAATTATCGTAAAAATATTAATTATTAATTATAATTATTATATATTATGTTTTATTAATAACCCATAGACTTTAGTATAAGGTCTATGTAATAACCATAGCTTTAATCCACGTTAAAACGCTCTTATATTGCAAACAAATACAACACAACATTATAAATTTCTGAACGCAAAACAATGTTGTTGTAACTAAAAAAAAATATATTATATATAAAAAGTATGGACATGTATATATATTATGTATTATATTATAACAAAATACTTTTTATAGAGTTGAATCCGTCATGTTAAACAATTATTTTTTATAAGATGTGTTTTCATTAATTTGGTGAAATCAAGTACAAGTTAATGATATCTATTACATAACAATACTTTGAAAAAAAAACTGAGAATTTCAAAAATTACTGTATTAAAATAAAACTTGTATCCACTCAAAAATCTTTTAAATTGTAAATTTGATCAACATAGAATCTAAAACGACGGAGAACATGTATATAAATGTATAAAAATATAATTTTGTAGTTCGATAGTTTGAAAAAGAAATATTATATTCAGTTTAGTGGCAAATATGTTTTATCTTATTCTTACTGTATGTAAATTTTAAATGCATTAAAAAAATAATAATAATAATTTAATCAACAATATTATGTGTAGGTACGGTACCTGCAAGCAATATAAGTCATTTATAAAGAGTACATAAAAATAAAAATTCCATTTTCTATTCCTATTTAAGTTTTGATGCAAGTAAAATGTATAAACGAATGTTGTATATTGAACTAGTTAAATAAGAAAAATACTGCCTTGAAACTTCAGATACTTATTTAAGTTGATGGCATGAATTTAATTGGTTTGTAAAATAAATTTTCAAAGTAAATGTATAGTTATTAATACATTTTTTTTCAGATGTCATTATAGTTTATCAAATATATACAATTTCTGTAGGGTATAAACCATTTTATGACCATATTGTGCTATATAAAACAAATACTTCTACAAGAAAAGTAATTTGAATTTAATTTAAAATGATGCTTAATATCTGCTGCTTCAATAATAGAATTACCATTTACAATGTAAGTTACCAATATACTTGAGAGAAATAGATTAAATTTCTATTGAAACTATTTTAAAAATGCCATTGAATATAAAAAAAAATAAAATAAGTAATGGGAAAACATCAAGTCTCCACAATTTTTTTGACTTATAACATAATAATTATTTAAATGCTAAATTTTTTTTTATCTACTAAAATAAGTATTAATATATTACACCATTAGGTACATATACCAAAATAAATTGCTACAACATACTCAACACAGCATATATTGTATTTTAAATCGATTATTTATTTAGTTACTTAAGTAAAACTACGGTTCGAGTGGTCCTTTTACATTTTACAAACAATACATTTATGGAAGTACAGCAATCTTGCAGTCTTGCCCTATTAATTTCAATTTCTAATCGGGTCCTGTGAACGACAAATACAGTCAACTAAAACTATCAATGTGAAACCAGTATAGTATATGTATACAAATAACGGCGCGGCGTCCTTACGTGCAATGTTATTACTTAAATCTCAAATTTCACTGTATTTTCTGTACGATTGTACTCGAGCACTTAAGGTTATCAAATGACAACAATATGGGATATAAACGTAAAGACATTTTAATTTCAGTTTCTGAATAATTAAAGTCATAGATACAGTAAATATCATCTGCCCCTAATAAAATATATATGTTTGCACGTCAAACAGTACAGTATTAGATTAGGTATAATATATAGTATATACTACCGCGTTACTGGTGGTAAAGAAATATGGCATAGGCTCTCCTCTGATCCCAGATATTCCGTGAGATTTATCAACATGTTATAACTCCCGTAAAATGTATTTATCATTTTATTTATATTATCTTCAATAAGTTTAATTTTTTTTACATTTTATTATGATTTAAAGTTTGAATCAATTGTATTGCATACATTTATTTTTTTCCTAAGAAGGATATATTTACGTATACAAGTAGATAATTGAAATCTAACAATAAATGAATCTCTACTGTATAATAAAATATCATTGGAAAACATTTAGGCTGAATGGAAATAATATATAATAATTAGATATGAACTTATTAAAATGTTAAGGTATCATTATAATATACGTATTATCATTTATTAACCATATTATCGCACACGTACTTGAGCTATGATACATAATATAAATAAACCTAAAGCGTGAATTTGTATGCATTTCATATTTATTCTGATTGATTGTATGATATGCTAAATGAGCACAAAATTTGTTTCATGATACGATTTAAAAAATAAAACTTTTTTTAGTGCATATTTTTGCATATTTTGACACTTTTCTACTTCAAGGGCTTATTTTACGATTTTAATTGCATATTTTCATCTTTTAGAACATATTTTGATATTATTTAGACATTTTTTAAACATGTACTATTGCAGTTTATTATAAGAAAAAAATATTTTATTCATATAATTTCGATAATATCAAAATAAATTAATAGGAATAAACGGTTTTTCCAAATATGATCGTAGATCAATAATCGGGAAAATAAAATATTTAGATTAATCTTATCAAGATAAGAAAATATCGATTACGTCATTGATTGAACACTGACATTATTTCACTATTAATCATTATACTTTTCTTTTATTTATAACGGCGTATTTATGAGCTACAAAACCGGTCAAAAATCGACCTTAGCGTCTTTGAGCACGCCTTAAACCACAAAAAGAAATCTACCATCTTCGTCGTTGTCACTGAAGCCAAATGATAAATTTAAAAAATTTGTTTCACCAAACCGATTCACCGTTATGGTGTCCGATGAGGACAGTGGAACTGAACTCGACGTCAATGGTGATATATCCGATGCAATCGACGAATACACTGTCTCTACTTAACACGACAACACCAGAGCTCCACCATTTTATGT